TCAGGATGAGGACTGGATTTTTATTTCATCCAAAATGGTTCACTTATTCCAAATTTTAGGGCCTTCAATAAGAGCAGATTGAATTTCCCAAGAGCATTATATGGAAAATATTCTTACTCATACAGGACTATTACCAAGTCTGACCTTTTGTGACAATTCCAGAGAACACATCTTAGAAAAAGAAAGCTCTTGAAAGCCCTTATAAAGAGCACTGTTCTGGATACTCTAATTAGGGCAGCTACTACAAGTTTTAAGAAACCTAAGAGAAATTGACTTGGCATTGCTCAGATTTTGTTTTTCTGTTCTTCTCTAAGGATTTTCTCTAATAAACCAGAATCATTTGGAAAAATATATTGTTGTACCAGCTCAAGTTCACTCAGAGGAAGCAATAAAATGCATTAACACACTTACTTTACCAGATAAAGATATTACCTTTCCTGTTTGGGGTATGGCATTTTTCATTATCCTTGCCACATTTGCAATTGGAAGATAAATATCTTGTTCTCTAAAACTCTCTTTTGAGCCATTTGTGTCTTCATGATCATTCATGCTGTCCTCTGTGTCTAATGAAATAAAAGTTAACAGAAATTGTATTTGATAGAGAGCAGGCAATAATTATGTCAGTTTAAAATCTTACATTGAAGGATGAAGACCTTTAAAAGCACAGTGCATTAACATTGTAGAAAAAAATATAAAAAATAGATGTAACACCAGGGTACCTTTATGGTTGTTCAATATCATCCTTAACACATTATGCACAGAAATATACATGGCTGCAGAACACCAGCCATTCTTAATGTCACATCAAAATACAAATTGTTTCATAAAACAATTTTTTTTTTGTCATCACCTCAAAGGATTTAGTATTAACATGGAAAAATCCAACTCCCACTTTCAGACTGCAGAAAATTCGCTTTATATAGTGAGGCATTATGAACACAAACAATTGCAAATTCTTAGCCTGGGAGAAGATAGAGAACTATACAAGAACTGGAAGGAAATACACATACACAAACACAGAAATAGCAGTTTTTACTGTAACATTTCTTACCATCGTGAGGCTGTATCACATAGTGACTGCCACCAATGTAATCTCCAGCAATTCCTAACTGAGAAGCATCTGTTGTGGAGCTATCACCATCCATCTACAAGCAGAAGAAGGAAACCTTTCAGGTATGGTTGTTACACTATTAAGAGTAACTATTGCTGAAAAACATAGTACCATGAGACCAACTGATACAAAGTATAAATACTTTGCCATTTGAGAACAGCATCCTCTCTTCTCTTGCTGAGCTTTTTTGACACTGGAAACAGCGAACTTTTGAGGCTTCCTCAAACATTCAGCTGGAGGCAAAGGCCATGCACAGAAACCTTTGGTTCACACAGCACATGAACAGCAACCTTCTGTGGTTCCCCTGAGAGTCTGACCAGAACATGTCAAGGCATCTGCTTCTCTGAACAACTCTCAAAACCTGCACCAGCCCACTGCTCACTGAATGCTCCACGTAGAACTAGTAGAGAGCATCCTTCATTCACCGTTACTCTCCACACAAACAGCTTTTGCCAAGCACTCTGACAAATTCTCCTAGACAGACCTCAGGACCATCCTCATCCTCTCTGAGGCATCAGTCACTCCTAGGTGCCTTCTGAGTCATGTTTTCTTTTGCTTTCCCTGGTCCTGCCCTACCTCACTCCTTCGGGCATCTGTCAGTGCTCCTCTCGCAGTGTTCTGATGTGGTGGACAAGAAGTCTTCTCCTTGAGTTTTTAGTGATGGAGTCACAATCTGATAGGTAATTTGAATGCCAGGAGAAAGAGGGAAGCCAAAAAAGGCAGCATTTCCCTCCCCAGCTAGGGCCTTTTGTCCCAGGAGGCACCAACCATGTTTCAGCTGGAGGAGTCTGGGAGACATCTGCCTTCCTCCTTCCAAACAGGGCAGAACTACTGACGTCAGCAGCAACCGTTTGCTGGCAGGTCCCAGCATTTGTTAGGAAATCAACTTTGTGAACAAATAAAGAGGTCTCACGGGGACGCTCCGCACAGAGGCTCCTCAGCAAACTGCCATCTCACTACCTGCAGTCAGCACAGGTATGGGGCTTCCTACTTCTGTGGAGGTGAAGGAGGTGATGGTGCCTCCTACCTCCCCCCTTGGAGCTGACACCTCTTTAGCCAGGGCTCCCCACAACATCAACTCAAGGCACGACTGCCTCCTGCATCCACGTTTTGCTACTGCACAACACAGGGATACAAGTGTGTTCTTGCAACAGCAAATACTTCAGACAGTGTAGCCTGTTAATATGTTACACGTTGCCTTTTTACAGGAATAGCAAATTTCCTTAAACACCATCAGCAGGTGCTCAGTTGGAAGCTGAGACCTATAAAAAAAAAAATCATGGCAGATAACAGTTCCACTTCTAAAGGGGCTATTTTAGCTATGCCAAGTTTAAGTTTGAATTCAAGTATTGAGGTTTTTTTAATACTTTTGGACAATCTTGATTTTTTTTCCAGTTGCAGGTATCTTGAAAATCAGTATATTAAAAATAAAATTTTGCAGAACATCTAGCTTCCATGCTCTTTTCCATGTAAGGTGGTATTTTTGCAGCCACGTATTTTAGTAACGCTCCTTTTACAATACAAAAATTAGGGAGGAAGAAGGGGTTCCAAGCACACGCAAACTCTTTCAACACTGGGGCACAAATCCAAAGGTATTTTTCAACATGTTTAGATGCACAGCACCAGATTCACCTCTGCCCCAAATTTTCTTGGCTATGTTTCACATCAAACAACTGTTAGCATTTGCTTATCTATCTGTCTGTTAGAAAATCAGCTCTTCCATTCCCACTCTACCCTTCATACAGCTACTTCTCTGCACCAGCACTGCCCTTCCTTCCCTCTTCCCATCCTAGCCATCCCTGACAAGCTACACAGCTTGTCACAGGATTGTCTACAGCCTCATGGGATGCAGAACCCAGCTTGATTCACTTGCTGACCTACACCAGCTGTGCAGGAACCCCATTGTCTTTGGAAAATCACCTCTGCCCCAAAGGGTCATGTGGTCACTGCCGGTGAGACCACAGAGCTTGCTTCTTTCCAGTGCCACCAGCCTGGAGAGGGAGGGAGCAGCAATCTTGTGCTATTTTTACCCCTGCCCAGAAATATGAGCAATTTAACCTCTCTCTACTCTGCACTTAGCCTGTGGCCACAGGGCTGGGTTTTGCTTTCCAACCCTCAGGCCACATCCGGTGGCCGCAGATGTGCACATAGCCCAAGTGCTGCTCACACCCGAGGCACTACTACAACAGCTGGATGTAGCCTTAGGAGCTGCTTAAGGGGGGAGGAAATCTCTTGCATCTCTTCCTCAGCATATAGAATATTACACACACACTGCTTTTTTCAAAGCACTTTTGGTCCCTTTTGATGGGCTTGTTCAAAACAGTTTCACTTTTTACACAGCACCTCTGCCCAAAGGAAGGGTAACATTTTAGCCATTAGACTTCCATGTGCCAACTTTCATGTAAATTTGCTTTCTTTGCATTTTGCAGACATCATTGAGAGATTTGCTTTTCAATTTTACAAAGGGTCTGCAGTTTACTGCCACTCACTGTAATGACAACACAAGGGTAACACAGCCCTGCACGTCAAGATCACCAAAACTGACATCACCCATCAAGTAGAGTTGTGTCTCTTTCCAAACAATTAACATTCTGCAGTCTGGGAAATCCAAAAAAGCTACCTCTAAAATTAAGTTAGGATTTTCTGGCAATCTCAGTTTTGGCTCTGATCTCTACTAGAATTTAACTCAGAATTAGGGTCTCCACAAACTTTAAGCATTAAGTTTACTCAGCCCTATTACTATTTTAAATGCCTTTCTGTTTCTTCCCCTCTCTTTTTTCAGTCTTCTATGAAACCTATTTTCTAAAATGTTTCCTTCTTCAAGGATTGCGATATTCTTCAAATTTCTGCATATTATCTGAACGTAATAACTCACTGGTTTCTGCTCACCCATCCTGCAGGCTACTCCATCTGAATCTTTATTGCCAAGCCCAGCAATATTATTTAAGAAACCATCTGGCTTTCATTAGCCCAGCTCTCCTTCAAAAGACAATTCCGTCTTGAATCTCTTGTAAACCTCTGCAGCACCTCCAGACAGCTCTGACCATATCAGACTAAGGGGCTCCCAAGGTGCCACCTTTGCTTCTTCTCCGTGCGTACACTTCCGCATCCGCGCTCAGCATGCGTTATTTCACTCCTAATGAGGATCTGAGTGGAAGCTTATCAACATCATGAATCTAATGTAGCGACTAGCAAAAGTGACAGAAAAAGCCTTGCAAAAGGCAGATCTGTTTCTGATAAAGAAAACATGCACTGACAGCTTAACATCAACTGGAATTATTTCTGTGGCTATTACTTAAAGAAAGACAGGACAACCCTGGGACAGGTGATTACAGACACTGTAACACCCTTCTGCATAATGCTCAGCATAACCACGTCCTAATCCAAAGTCACAGGATAATTCAGGCTGGAAGGGGTCTCAGAAGGTCTCTAGTGCAACCTCTACTCGAAGCAGGGTCAACTCTGAGTTCAGAGCAGGTCACTCAGGACTTTATCCAGCCAAATCTCAAAGACCTCCAAGTACAGAGCCTGCCCAGCTGCCCTGTGAACTTCCACAGCTCGGCTGGCCTCAAGGTGAGAAAAGGAGCAGCATCTCTACATGTGACTTCAATCCAGGTAAACTGGATGGAAGAATTTCAGCCAGACTTGCCTAGATCTAGATTTGAATTCAGTGACATCTGAATATAGCGACTGTAATTAATATATTACTCAGTTACCCTACTAGTATTTCTTTGGGCCTGATGGATGGCAGAAACATGACTCTGCTGAAAAACGCAGCCATTGCTATCCTAGTCATCTCTTAATGAACACAGATGGACATTCAAGTCTTATGGTTTTAATTTCAGGTGTTCAAAACTCAAGTCAATCACCACATACCTGACTGTAAGCTCAGCACAAGGTCTGTACTGTGTATAACACAATACAATGCTCTGAAAGTGAGAAAATGCTGCTCTTGATACACTCTTGCTAATTAATCCCACCCTTTCAACAACAACACCACCAGCCCAAACTCCAGGCAAACCCATGAAACATACTAAACTGTCAGTGTCCCCAGAGTTACTCTAGAAAAGCAGTAGTCCAATGCAGTACTGCCTACAGTAACCGCTGCTCCTGGGAGACTAAAAGGACAAGAGTTTTTACACTGACATGTTAAGTAGGAAGAGAAACTTCTTTGGATGGAAGCAGACATTAAGTTTCCTGAACGGGCAGAATCCTGGGCAATGTAACCCTAAAAGTTTCGGATGGCTAAGAACTCTCCTCAGATTTTGCTTTAAGCCCTGGAGCTGTTACAACGCTCTGTACAGAAAAGTGACAATTTGCAGATTGTACACCCCTTTGCACAGCAGCTCCAGCCACACACAGACATTGCCACGTCTTTTAATACCAGACTGCCTCCTGCACCTGCACAGCCACCACACTGCACGAGGCAGGGGGGCTCCCACACGGGGCACCTGCAGCAGGCACTGCACGGGGCTCTCGCTGCGCGATGGGCATCGCCTTCAGCCTTCAGCGCTGGGAGACGCCGGAGCCCCTCCACACAGCTGCACACTGACTGACCCAAGGCTGAGAGGTGAGCATCTCGGGGGTGACAACACGTCAGCCTCTACAGAGACCTTGCCATCTGGTTTTGGTCATGAGCAAGGGAGAGAAACCAAGTCAGTACAGGACACAACCCAAATATTAAGTGATACACTGCAAAAAGCATCCAAATACACAGCAGCAACACAACATTTTCTGGGTTTGTTTGTTTTTGTTGGGTTTGGGGTATGTTTTGTGTTTTGGTGGTGTTTCGGGTTTAGAGATTTTTTGTTTGTTTGTTTTTTAAATCTCTAATGAAAAAGAATATTACTAGGACTATACAAATTAATAGACCCAGAGAAATACGTTAAAACAGAAGCATTTCAGATCAAGGGCATCCCAGAAAATTCAGTGATTAGATGCAAGTGAACAAACATACAGGTTTACACTGACATCTGGTTGAAAATCTTCTGGAGGATGCTTAAAAAAACATATGATCCTGTCATCTGCCCACAACTCAGACAGTTCCTAGAAGATATCTATACTGAATTAATAAAACTTCAGTATCTCAAAGTTAATCTTGCATCCTGTTTGATCCTAAGAGCTCCCTTAAAAGAGCAGTATCAGCTCTCTTAATCTCTTAAATAATAACTAAAGAAGAATGCAAG